CTTGCCACTTTTTGCCATTTTTTGGCGGCTCCGATGTCAAAGCTTGCCACTTTTTGCCATTTTTTGGCGGCTCCGATATCAAAGCCTGCCACCTTTTGTTGCTTTTTGGCGGCTCCGACGTCAAACCTTGCCACCTTTTGCCATTCTTTGGGGCCTCTGACGTCAATCCTTGCCACTTTTTGGCGCCGTGGGTGTCACCTGTTGACGCATGTCCGTCGCCGTCGTCTCGGGTGTCATCCGTTTGGGACGACGGGGGCGAAGTGTTTGAAGGCGGCCCGGGTGTATGCCTATAGAAGCAGAAACCAAAGGCCAGCCCTGTGCGTGCTGCTCATCGCAGAAAATAAATGAGAAGAGACGGGACCGGGGCGGGGGAGCACAGAGGCGCAAGCCTGTGGGTTAAGCACTCAGAAAGACAGAAGGGAAAGCCCTCACCGACTACAGACGGCACGACCCCAGTCCAAAGCCCATCACCGAAACCATACCACCCAAGGCCCCCGGTCCTCTCCTCTCTCATGGTTGCACTAAGGCCGAGCCCCTCACTGTGACCGACCTCCTCACTGTGACCGACCTCCTCACTGTGACCGACGTCCTCACTGTGACTGACCTCCCCACTGTCACCGACCTCCTTACTGTGACCAGCCTCCTCACTGTGGCCGACCTCCCCACCGAGGCCGACCTCCTCACCATGACCGACCCCCTCACCGTGACCGACGGACCTGCTCTCATGGCGGCACTGTGGCCAGCCTCCTCACTGCGACCAGCCTCCTCGCTGTGACCGACCTCCTCAATGTGACCGACCTCACCAATGTGACCGACCTCATCACCGCGACCAGCCTCGTCACTGTGGCCAGCCTCCTCCGCTGGGATTTTATGCACATGCCTTTCACACATCTGGAAACGCTAAGCACGCGCCTCATAATTTGACAATTTATGCACGGGACGAGGAGGTTCCCAGCGGTCGATGGCGACCAGGGTCCCGGCTCCACCTCCAAAGGCAGCCGCCGCCGGCCCTACGGCCTAAAACTTTCAAACACAGCACTTGTCGCATGCAGCTCGATCTTCAGTCTATGAGATACGCTTCGTTCTAGGGGCATGGGGGTAAAGCTCAGACGTTCGTAGTGGGGACACCATGGGCATGCCTCCGTCTCTTACGTGCGTGGCCGGTCTTGTGAAGTACTTCATTGATGTGATTGTCGATGTAGTCAAATCCATTAAAATGCAATCCATTAAAATACTCAGCCAAATGCTCAAGGGGTCGGAGACTCATAGATACAGGATTACTCCTGGGGGTAAGGTTGGAGACAGCAAGCCAAAGCATCTAATGACAAATCATACTTACCGGGTTAAGATGTGTTTCAGAACTTGAGGGACATCAATGGAGTGGGAGTGTCCTGATCAATAATATGGAGGGTCTATCGTTTCATACTGCTACGAATATCGTCGACGTTGCGGGCTATTATGGTGCACATGGTAGGGGGTTTCATGGTTGCAGGTCCATCTTATGACTGTCAATCTGGTTAAGCAATTTACTCTGCAGACGGATTTGGTGGCGCTCTTGATTATTATGCTAGGGGTAAGGACTTGCTCCGTCGGTGTTTACTCGAGTCATCGGGGCAAGCCCATGACAGTCCAGCACATCTAAACACAAGCACGATCCCCAAGTCAATAAGTATGTATATGATAATACTTTCTCAAATCATCACAGCAGATGAATAAAATTCGAACACGTTTGAACGTCGTATGACTATGAGACTACGCAACTTCGAAGTAAGTCTATATCTATATGTTGAAGGTATTCTATTGAAGTCCAAGCCTTCTACTTCTTCGCCTTTTTTGGCGCATTTTGCTTCTCCACTTTCTTCGCCTCCTCACGCGCTCGCTTCCTTGCGTTCTTTTTGTCTCGTGCCTCCTTTGCGGCCGTATCCTCTCCACCTCCTTGCCCCTCTTCTGTCTCCGGTGCCTCTTTTACGGCCTTAGCCTCTCCACCTCCTTGCTTCCCCTCCTCGGGTTTGATGCTGCAGCTCATGACTGGCGCTTGGTCCACCGTGTCTCCTGTTTTTGCTGCGTCTTGCGATGCGTCGTAGGTTCCCAGTATCTGATCCAACAAGAGTCCCTCCATCTGGAGGGACTCATCCTCCTGCGCCCCTGTGCTTGTTTCCTTGGCTTGTGTCTCCAGCACTTCTGCGGTGCCACCTGTGCTTGTGTCCTTGGCTTCCTCGATGGAGATGGCTGGCTTCATACTAGTTTTCAGGACGAAGCTACTGGCCGGCTTCGTGGTAGTCGTGGCTTTCCCATTGCGTCCGACGTATTCGACGAGGACATTGTGCACCAGGCCATTCTTCAGGGTGACCGAGTGCACTTTGCCCTCTTGTTCTTTCCCGCGCTGCACCCACGTCACGATGTCCCCGGAAGGACCGTTAGAGCATGGAGAGGGATGAGAAGGCAAGGTGGGTGGGGTAAGTAGAGCACGGTGGAAAGAATAGGCCTGACGAGTAGTGCGGCGAACAAGCTACCGCGAGGACTCAGGAGAGCCGGGGCCCACAGTGTGTGACGGAGCACGTCGCACCACGGGCAAGGCAATACCACAAGCAAAGCAAGACCACGGACAAGACCGACAGACACCGCGAACGCACAGAGAACCACGAACAAGGAACCACGAACGAGACACCGAACAAATCACCACGAAAAACCCACCACGGACGAGACACAACAGACAAGACACCACGAAGGAGACACAACAGACAAGGCGCCACGAATGAGACACCACGGACAAGGTCCCAAGAACAAGCCCCCACGAACAAGGCCCCACGAACAGAGCCCGACGAACAAGGCACCACGAACAAGACACCACGAACAAGACACCACGAACAAGACACCACGAACAAGACACCAAGAACAAGACCCCACGAACAAGACCCCACGAACAAGACCCCACGAACAAGACCCCACGGACAAGACCCCA